GGCAACATGCTGACTCTGTAAACTGCTTAGAGAGGGGTTTAAAACACTGAAATGCAGTAGTAGGTTCCGGATCCTGTCGCAACTGGTATGCTGCGATGGGGCCAGGCATCCTCGGCGGGATCGCGCGCTGCACACGCATGCACATGCCACCACCCAGCGACACAGCTGCTCGGCAAAGGTATTGCAGGTGCCCCATGCTGTGTGCCTGTGCGCAATTGGCATGTTTGTCTCACAAAGTAGCAAGGAACGCGGGTGGGCGGGTGAGCCAAACGGCCCACTGTTCCGGTACGGTGACTGCTGCTCCCAGCTACCACAGGTACGCCCGTACCGGGCCATACCGCCTGGAACCCACCACTGATGAAATGGTATATAAGCTTAACCGCTATTCCTACTGCTATTACCTGGCATCTTCCTCCCTGGCTGGGAATACTGTGAGCTGTAACCCCACCACAGCAGGTGACAGGCCTGGACCTGACTTGAATGAAAGTCAAGAACCTTGAAACAAGAGATGAAAGGAACAGTGCTGTGAATAGATGGTTTATGTAGGCCAGAAAAGGGTGTCTTCAGCTGGTATGAAATAGGACTGCAAATCATTGCACTCTGGGGTGCACATCAATTCAGTTTTGTCCAAGAAACGTGATGGCATAGCGTACTGTATGGGCCTAGTATTTTCATTTGTGAACCATGAGGTGCGGCTTCGCATGATTTATTCAGCAAACAAACCATGATTTAGCATGGAGGAATTTATTCATAGATGGTTGCTCCTCCATCACACTCATGATCTGTTGGCTGTTGTCTCTCTGATCCTGTTTATTAATTTTATTCACATAACTGAGCAGATTCTGGAAAGGCAGAAGTTTTGTGGCCCATATTGGCAGGAAGGAAAGAACAGGATGGACCTGTTGGGAAGATCAGCAACCCACTATTGAGTATAAAAATGTCAAACTTTTCATTGTCAGATGCAATGTCAAATGTCAGCTACAATGCTGCAATCATCCATAAATCCTGCTAGTATATTGGCCTCAGCATATACCTATTGATGCCAATTCTTGATCTAAGGGTCTGCTTTGGCATACAGCTTGGCCAGCAACACTTTCCCTTCACACTGTGTTGATGACTGTTCTTGATATGGTAGGGTTGAGGCAAGCTATTCTAAGATGAAGGAGGAAGCTTATATTGAATGTGCACAATATGTACTCTGGATTCTGTTTGGGCTTTACCGTGATGTGCTTGTCAAAATGTTGACTGTTAATGCTCCAGTGCAACAGTGGCAACAACAGATGCCTCTGCGTCCTTAACAGCATTTTGGAATAAGATTTCAGGAAAGGGGAAATAAATGAAACTGCAAGTTGGTTCTTCCAATGGGTCATCATACAATCGTTAGATTCCCAAAAGTTTTGGGGCCAGGGGCCATATTCTTAGCAGAAATAGAGAGATTTGACTTACATCTTCCCAGATACTTTGGAAATGTGTTATAGTGGCGGCTTCCCAATACACAAATCCAGAGATGCAGCGCCAAATCTCTTGGGGTTGGTTTGTGGTCACCCACAAATCTCATTCAGCTTCTTGCCTGAATATTGGAATTGAGACATCCTTGCCAGTCTGATGATAATCACTGAGCTATTTCTTTACGTCTTTATCTATCTGTACCTCAGCTCCAAATCCTCTTCAGTGACAAGAACAGAAAAAGAAGAGCAGAACGGTTTCATTATATGAAGACAAGGATGTTGATTAAGTGGACCTGATCAAAACAAACTGAAATATTCAGAAACAACATGCCTTATTTTCTGTCCTCACCTCTTTGACTCAGTGTCTATTTGGTCCTATTTTTTTCTAATTATTTTTTATTTATTTATTTTTTTAAAATATATATTTTA